TGTGCGCAGCTCAGGAGGACAGGTGCTAAGGAGGGCTCCCCCACCACCATTCAGAGCTAAGTGGGAAGGTAGGAGGGTACAGACCACCACAAGGCACATCTGCAGCCCATCAGCGGCCCCTGCCCTGCCTCCACCAGCTGGAGCACGGGCAAGATGGCAACCCCTCAGTTCACGGGGAGGGGAGCTCTTCTCCTTCCTCTGTCGACTACAGTGGGAAGAGCCCAGTCGGAAAGAAGGCTCTGACTCCTCAAGGCCCACCACCCTCCTCCTGTTCCCCAACCTCTCCACTCTGCCTTCGCCACAGGGAACTCACCCCGCCAGGGTCCCTCCCCACACTGGGGTGTGGCCGCTGAGGGTAGGGTGAGATCCTATCTATATCCACAGCAGAACTGTACATCCAGCTGTTCAGATACTTCCAGAACTGGGCCTCCTTTTCTGTTGTTACTTTTTCTAAATCTTGTAGAGGAAGGGGCGAGGGGGAAGGAAAGCTGCAGATGGTTCTGAGAACAACTCACAGAGGACAGGCCCACCACAGGACCTGCAGGGATGTAGCATCATTCAGCAGCAAGAAGGGAAGAAATGAGCAGGAACCTGAGGTGGGACGGCCGCCCAGTACCTTGGCAAGGTGTGGAGGGGGCTATAGGCCCAGCCAGGTGCAGGGCAGGAGAACCCGCTGCGGACCAGTGATTCCCTGAGATAACCCTGAACCAACTGCAGCCCCGAGGCCCTAAGAACAACTGAGCCACACTGCACCAGCTGTGAAAATCACAACAGTCAGCCTTTGACCTTGGCACTGACCTTTGGGCTGCAGCAGTTCTTGGTGTGGCTGTGGCAGATGCCCCACCAGTTGACTCAGCGGACTTGGGGATCCCCACACAGAATCCACCTGCAGAGCCGCCTTAAACCCTACACCCTGTCTGGACACACCAGGGGTGGGGGCAGGCAGGAGGGGCCTCTGCTATAAGCCCAGGCCCCATCGAGGGCACAGCACGACAATCCCCACCCTGGGGACCCTAAGTGGGCAGTGCCTGCAGCGGGTCCTCCTTCCCAGCTCTGCAAATGTTTCTCCATTGAGGCCTCCCCCTCCCTCTCCCTCAACCCCATGCTGGGCGTGACATCTCCAGGAAAAGGAGGCATTTAAACTCAAAAGGAAGGACTCTGAGACTTGGCCATTCTCAATTTGGGGTCCTTCAAGACTGAGAAGGAAAAAGAAAGAATGAAATATGAGCCTTCCCATTCACGAGTGTTATAAACAGTTATAATTTAGCACTGAATAATTGGTTGCCATGGGAACCGCTGCAGTACAGGTTGAAATCATTTCTCCCTCCTGTGCGCTAGGGTCTGACAAGGAGCTTCATCTACATATGCTCAGGTTCCGGGCTGCAGCCGGGTTATTTTATGTAAATCAGAATCCACGACTTGCTGCTTGGGGTGCCCTGACCCCTCTGCCGCCTCATCTGGGGGCCCCTGGTTGGCAGAGGACAGGGGTAAAGCCCTGGGGCCCCGTGTGCTGGGCGGGTGGGCAAGGGGCGCAGGGTGGCCAGGAGCCTGCTCTCCGGCTGCTGCGGGTTCCAGCGCCCCAAGATCTGACAGCTGGCTGGAGCCAGGCTCTCAGGAACGGGAAGGAGGGCAGCCACAGCCAGGGGGTAGTGGGTGGGGGCTTTAGGGAGGCCTTCTGTCCACCCTACCCCTTTTGAGAACCAGAATTGCATGCCAGTAGAGAGGGAAGAGAGAGGGCCAGAAAGTGGGGGGCATGGAGAGCATGAAAGAGAAGGGAGGAAAATAAGGCAGGAGAGGAAGGAAGAAATGGAGGGAGGGAGAGAGGGAGAGCAAAGGAGACAGAGGAGGGCACTCCCAGAGATTCACAAGGCAAAGACCAAATACAGGCCAGAGAGGGAGGGAGACAGGCCGACAAGAGCCAGACAGACAGAAACAGAAACGTGTTCTCAGAGAAAGAAGGAAGGGAAAAGGCCCTGGAAATGAAAGAGCCCAACAACTAGCCCCTCTCACCTCGGAGGCCATCAGACCCCTGCCCCAGGCCTCACCACTGTCCAGGCCCTGCCCACGCCAGCCTTATTCCTGGCCAGTGCCACTACTGTCCCCCCTGGGGGGTGGGGGGGAGGAACAGGCAAAATAGCCAGCCCTGCCTGGGGGAAGGACGGGGCTCCCACAGGCCACTGCTGCACGCTGCTGGGTCCTCTCCAGCACTTGGGAATGAGGCAGACCCAGTCTAAAAGCCTGAGACCCAATGGCCAGATGACATTGCCCCCTTGGCCTTGCCTCCCACCTAACTTAAAGGACGAGGGGTGTAGGAGCCTCCACCATCAGCCATTAGGAGCCACAGCCCTAGAATCCACCTCACCCCCAGTCCAAAGAGCTGAGCCCAGGTCTGAGGGGTCTGAGGGGAGAAGGCAGTGGTGGCAGCAGCAAAAGTTTTCACAGCTTCAATCAGAATGTCTCAAACCTACTTCCCAGGGCCCAGCACCACCTGCTCTGTGCCTGGCACAGATCTCCAGGGCCAGGGGACAGTGTCAGTGGAAGGGGAGGCAAGGAGCTCCAGCTAGGAATCTGGGGACCCTCCACATTGAAGGGGCTGGCTTCCAGCACCTCCTTCAGTGGGGAGCCTTCAGGCTTATAGTCCCCCGTTCCCCTCTCCTGCCTCCATGTCCCCATCTAAACAGCAGTCTAGGGGACTCACCCTCACAAGTTGAGGGAGCCTCAGAGCACAGGCCAGTGAGTCTGCAGAGACATGAGCCCTGTAGGGGCTCCCCTAGCCCATGTCCTTCCTATGAGCAACCCACACACTGGCCCCATGATGGGGTGTCCTGGGAGGAGACAGACACACATCGACCCTGAATATCATGCCAGACTGAGGACAGAGCTTAGGGCAACAGAGAAGGAGGGTGGATCGGGAGGGGGGCCCAGAGTCTCTCCAGGGGAAGAAAGGATGGCACATACGTAAATACACACTCTCATATGTGTGCGCATAGGGGAGGGGAGAGGAGAGGCCTGGTGGGCTGCCAGCCAAGTGCCAAGGGGCTAAGCCGGGGCTTGGAGGGGTGCTCTGGGGACAGTGGAGGAGCCTGGACAGGGAGCCATGCTCTTCTTCCACAGGCTTCAGGGGCAGCACGAGGCCGGAGCTGGGAGAGCACAGGGGGCAAATGCTAACCCCAACCCAGACCAAGAGCACAGCAGGACGACGCGGCTGAGGTGGGTCTCGCCAGAGAGGGTGGGGGCCGACAGCCTCACGGCCTCCCCAGCACCTGGAGGACCCAGAGTAGCATCCAGGCAGCTCGGCCCTCTAGATGCGCCCAGGCTGGCACCAGATAAGAGAGGAAAACAGGCTGCAGGGGGAGGTTAGGGCCCCCCAAAATGCCTCTGGGTTCCCAAAAAAGCAGAGGAGGTGGAAAGGGGATGCAGAATCAAGGCTCAGTCAGGCAGCGGCTCTCGCCACCTGCCACAATCATCTCTCCCTCCTCAGGGGTCTCTGCTTCTGCCCCTGCAGCCACCAAAGGGGCCTGCCAGGCTGAATCACATCACTTCCCTGCTCTGCTCAGAGCCTCCACTGATGTCTCGCAAGGAACAGTCAGATGCCCACAGTGGGCCCCAAAACCTCATAGTAAGGAGTGACCCAACCTAGGACAGCCTCCCCAGGCCTCCCCACCTCACCCTGCAGAAGCCTGGACTCAGGCCTGGCTCTGCCCAGGGCACTCCAGCCCATTATCACTGCCCTTCCCCCGGCCCTCCCAAGGCAAGGCCAGGTGCGTCCCCTTTGGGCAGAGGAAACAAGAAGGCCACAGAGCTATAAGCACATTCCCTTGGGACAGGGAGGACCAGGACTGGCAGGGACCAGCTGCATGCAGCTGACAGCCCTGGGGTCAGATCTCAGCACAGCCACCGTGTGGCCCTGGGCAAGGTCACCTGTGAGCCTTCAGGACCCCTTTCTCCACAGGGCTCCCCAAAGAAACAGAGATGACGCCCAAGAGGTACAGAGTTGCACATGGTAGAAAACAGGCACCATCGGTGTCCTAGTCCAAGGAGGAAGGGCTTTAAGGGCAGGTCTGCCTCAGTTTCCCCATCTTCCGTGTGGCTATCATCATCCCTGTCCCACTGATGATAGTGAGTCTGCAGATAGCCCAGGGAAGTAAGCTCCAAATGGGCAGCTGTAGGAACAGACAAGGGACACTTCACACCATCACACCTGCCAACCCAGAGTCAGCGGAGCGTGCGGTGACCTCTCCTGTCCAGAACCAGCCAAGAACAAGGAAGGAAGTGGCAGGAGAGCAGAGGTCACTGCGGCCGAGCCCAGCACTGACTGGTGGCCATCCCTCATCAGGGCCCCACTACTCTCCTCCGACTTCATTTTCCTTGGGTTTCTTCTTTTTTTTTTTTAAGACAGACTCTCACTATGTCACCCCCGGTAGAGTGTCATGGTGTCCCAGCTCACAACAACCTCAGATTCTTGGACTCAAGTGATTCTCTTGCCTCAGCCTCCTGAGTAGCTGGGACTACAGGTGCCCACTACAATGCACGGCTATTTTTAGAGGCGGAGGTCTTACTGTAGCTCAGGCTGGTCTTGAACTTGTGAGCTCAGGCAATCTACCTACCTGGGTCTCCAGAGTGCTGGGATTTCAAGCGTGAGCCACCCCACCAAGACCGAGCCTTTTCCTCCAGTTTCCCCATTACAGGCTTCTACGGAGCAGGGCGGCAGAGAACCAGGGGAAGGTGCAGTGTCAACAGAAGGGGGCCCTGCCCTGCACGGGTCAGCCAGGATGGGACAGAGGGAAATCCACTCTCTGACACCCTGCTCAAGACACAGGACACTTCCCACAGGTCTCAGAAAGCCTTCTGCAAACAACACTCCACACCACAAACTGGTTTTGGTGTTTTTCTCTCAAACTCAGCTCGCAGAAACCCTGGCTCTCCGAGGTCCGAGTCCCCAGCGGCTGGTGGACACAGCCAGGACCCCACCACCCCAGCCTGCCATCTCAGCCCCTCACCTCTTTCTTCTTTCGCTTCCCTTTGGACTTGTTCTCCTTGAGCTTCTTGGACTTCTTCTTCTTGGGAAGGCTCACGGGCTCCACAGGAAAAAAGTCATCGAAGGCTTCGAGACCACCATCTTCTTCTTCTGGAAGAGTCAGAAGGGGATTCTTCACTTCCCTCAGGAAGAGCTCCAGGGAACCAGGGCCATCTCAGGGGAAGGGGCCCACCACCCAACCATGCCAGGCAGGGCCACCCTGCCCTCCCCAGACCTCACCCTCTGGGCCTTTCCTTCCCTCCTCTGCAAAATGGGACAACACCCCCTGTCCCTGGTATTACAGTGCTCAGAAGACAGAACCTTGATGCACAAAACACTGAGTGACTAACTAGGCAGCCACCCAAGGAACACAGAGCCCCAGGGAGAGGTGGGGGCCAACAGAGCAGAGGACCCACCTTCGTGAGGTCTGTTCCTCCCCCCTGCCCCGCCCCAAGAATCACAGCAGGCCAGGAGGCGGCTTGTGAATGCAGGAGGATGGTGATGCTTGGGTCCTATCACCCAAGGACCACGTGGGGCTATGTAGGAGAAGCCCACCAAGTAAGAGCCCAGGATACCTGTGGATTTGGCAGAATCTCCCCCAAGTCAGGAATCACAGACCACATGGCTCCCCATCCTGCCCCTTCACACACACACACACACACACAGGTGCAAACACAGGTGCACACACAGGTACACACTGCTCCAGCCCAGATACACACACATAACGGATGCCAAGTGCAGTCCAGCTGGGCCCCACAAAGATGTCAAATTGCACAGAGAGATGCTGCACCCACCACACATGGTCTTGCAAAAGCTACCCACAATTCCCAAATTTCCCACTCCATTCAAGACTTTAAAGGCCGAGAGGAAGCACAGGGGGCTCAGTACCTTTGAAGAGGTAGCTGCCTGTGAATTCCATGTCTGCCACCACCACCACCACCCCACTCACCTCCAATCCAGAAGAGAAGGCTGGGGCAGCTGGACGTTAGACTACCGTGGGGGCATGGGGGCAGCCTCGGTCTGCCTCCCACCCAGGGAATCAGGAGTAAGAAAGGGCAGCCGGGCCCAGAGCTCCTGGGCACAGACCCTGGGCCAGGAAGGGGCTCCAGGGAGAGTCCTCTTAGGGGCCACAGCAGCAAGCAGACACCACAAGAAACAAATTTACCCAGAGCAGAGATACGGCTACCCTCAGAGGCAAAGGAGCCTTCCAGAAGGAAGCACCTCCAAGAGTCCACTAAAGGGGTCCATGAGAGAGCTGGCCCTCCACTCCAGCCTGCAGTCCAAGTGCCCCCTTGCCAACTTGTGTGCCCAGGAGCATGAGTGTCCCCCCATCTCGTGTGTGCCCACAGCAACCAGGGAAGCTGCAGAGGCAAAGAGAAGAAGGTGCCAGGTCCTGCCCCAACCCGGGGTAGAGGAGGGAGACACAAGCAGGAGAGAATCGGAGTGTGAGGACCACCTCAAGGGAGACCCTGAGGAGGGCACTAGGTCCTGGGGACACCCAGGAAGGGGGCAAAGCGTCTCCCCTGCTGAACTGAGCTTAGAAACAGAGCCCCTTCCCCACAAGGAAGGTTTTTCTCAAAACCCTCATGGCTGCCCAAGGCCAGCACACTCAGAAACCAGCCACCACGGATACAGGACTCCTGCGTGCACAGCCAGGATGCTCAACACCCACCTCCCACCTCCACACAGGTGCCCCCCCACCTGGCCTGGGACCCCTGCCCCCAGAATCCCAAAGGCATTCAAGGGAAGGCTCCCACATAATGGGGGCCACCCCTCACTCAGCCCAGTTCTAGAGAACACTGGTGGCCCAGCGGATGCCCCTACCCCTGCATCCCACAGGACCAGTTCCTACACATACCACCCCCCTACCAGGGGCAGAGTGGGGCTACATCACTGTCAAGGACGGGATGCCCTCCTGGGTGCCCAGGCTCCTCCCTCCCCAGGGTGCAAGTCCCACCCTGCTCAGCACAGCCCCGCCCCATCCTCAGAGCCTGGGAACTCCAAGAGGATCTAGGCAAACACAGGGATGATAAGGGGCAGGCTCCAGGCAGGACTAGGCACTACCCCAGGGGAGGTGGCCTGAGTGTGGTCAGGGAACTGGCAGGAAAGAGGCACTGCTGAGGAAAGGACCCTGTTGGGGGCACAGCTGCCATGGCCTTAGCAAGGCTGGGAGGGCATGTGGGCCAGGCCAGGCACAGCTAGGGGAAGGCAAAGGCTGCTCCAGCTCCCTCTACCCTGTCCCTATGAGTCCAGATGTGAGAGGAGCAGGGGAGGTTCTGAGGGAATTGGTACGACTGGCAAGGACCAGGCCGGGAGGCCAGTGGAACATGGTCCACACCTACCCCCTCCCCAGCCTGCCTCCACCTCCCCCACAGAAGACTGCCTGGGCAGAGCCACCCCCACCCTGGTGGTGCCCGGCAGCACTTATGTAATGGGCTCTGGCTGATGCAATCTCAAGGGGGGGCAATGCCTCTGTTTCCTCCCAGCTGTCCCCTCCATGCAGGGCAGACTAAGGAGGGCCAGCCAGCACACTGCCGCTAACTGACCAACTGTCCAGCAGAACAGACAAGGTATGCACACATGGCTGCAGGAGGTTCCAGAAGGAAGCCCAGGACTCACCTGTGGGTGGGGAGGAGGGGACCCAGGCTCTGGCCCTAATCCACACCCAGAAGGAGCCTCTGAGGACATGGCCCCAGACCCTCTGTCATGAGACAGACACCCCACCCCACCTCCCACTATTCTCAGAAGACCTCACTGTCCAGGGCCATCTGCCTGATGAACCCTCCTCTGGAAACGTTGGGAGCTAACACATGAAGCTGGGTAGCAAGCTGGCCCACACCTTCCCTGACAGGTCCTTCCTCCCCCCACACGGCTTCTGTTGGGGTCCCTGAGGACAACGCAGGCCTGACCCTCTGTGACACAGCCTCCCACCCCACACACTCTGGTTTTCAGCCAAGCCCAGCCCCCTCCACCCATTCTGATGCTCTCCCTCCGCTGCAACACACCCTGAGCTTTCAAAACCAAACCCAGGGAGTCACCACCCAAGGCACCTGATCACCAGCCACAGCTCAAGCACCCAGCCCTGTGCCCCATGCACACACACACGCCCACCTCTCCTCCCAACAGCCCATCTGATGGGCAGAGCAGGGGTTCAGGGATTCCACACCCAAGAGTATGAGCCAGTGACAGGTGGAATCCCACCCCGCCCTCAGCCAAGTGGCTCCCGGGAGGAATGGCCTCTCCATGGGACTGTGTCCTACAGGCTCTTGCCCTCCAGGCCTGCCTGGCAGTGTGTTTCTAGCCAGCCCTGCCCCTCCAAGGCCATAATTAGCTGAGTTATCTCTTGCCTCTGAGCTTCCACTCAGAAAGGGCCTGGAAAAGAGGCCAGTGAGTCTGAGTCCGGCCTTCTGCTGCTTTCTCCTGAGTTTACCCAGCCTCTCACTCAGCCCACGGGCCCCCAGGCTGGTCACTGCCCAGCCACACGGGGAGGCCACTCTCAAGGTAATGCACCATAAAGGCTGGAGCAGCCAATACCTGTGTACCACCTGCACCAGGCTCAAAGTCAAGGACACTGATAAATTCACATTAACTCGGCCAGGCCCAGTAGCTCATGCCTATAATCCTAGCACTCTGGGAGGCCAAGGCAGGAGGACTGCCTGAGCTCAGGGGTTTGAGACCAGCCTGAGCAAGAGCAAGACCCCATCTCTAAAAATAGCTGTGTTGTGGTGGGTGCCTATAGCCCCAGCTACTTGGGAGGCTGAAGCGAGAGAATTGCTTAAGCCTAAGAGTTTGAGGCTGCTATGAGCTGTGATGCCACAGCACTCTATCCAGGGTGACAAAGTGAGTCTGTCT